ATAAAGGTAATATTTCAGAGTATATCAGACAAGATATTAAAATTTTTATAGCTAACATTTATAAAAATTATAAGATCATCTTCTCTGCAATGATGTATGTTTTTGAGAAGTGCTTCTAATATACACACAACACTCAGACCCACCCGTACACATTTCTAATGAAATACCGTGGGGGGAGCCTAAGGTGGTAGCGACCTACTTAGGTTTTTCTGTATATCTTATCTTAGAGACTATAAAATCTGTCAGGTAAAGTTTGGGTTTAAAAGATAATGGGAAGTACTTATAAGAATCATTCCACATATATGTTAAATCTTTTTCTTTATGACAAAGCATAATAAGATCATTTTAAAATATAAGCCTTGCTCATTTTTGCATGCCAGTAAGAAAAATACTATGTCATATAATTGCTTTAAAAGAGGTCATTAAAAGTGAGAAATATATCTTTGTATGACATTTTCAGTTTTACAAAACTGCTTTATTTCCCAATTTAGAAGAATATGCTGAAGTATATGCAGAGAGGTTTGAGAATAAGTTATGAGAGACTGTCAGCAATACTGCTTCTAGAAGCATATGTCTGTCGGCGGGGTTTTGATGTCCTCAATGTATATTTATGCATATTAACAACATTTGAGCTCCTCCGTGCCTCTCAAGTAGTGAGCTTTGAAAGCAGACCCGAAAGGTCTCCTTAAAGGTGATGTTTTGCATTTGATCTCTGGGCTTACACCTGCTCTCATTCCTCCTTCGAGGTGACTGTGAACATGCCCAAGGGGTTAGTATAAGCTGGGCCTTCCTACTTGAGCATGTTTATAACTCTAGTAAGGTTGAAATGCATTTTCCTTCCTCACCTACACTTTATTTTCTCTAACAGTCATCTGCGTTACATAATCTGTTTCCTTTCAGGGGAAGGAAGACTTTTATTTTCCCCTGGGGATCATTTCCGAAGGTAGAACCTAAACCTTAGAAACCTGCATGTCACCTGTGAGGTAGCCTTTTGTTATTGATTCCTCACCCACCAAACAGAAGATCAATACTAGTGAGAAATATTTAAAACCAGTATCCATAACTTGAACACTCAAAGGGCTTTTAAAACGATTTATTTCATTAGTAAGAAGCTGCAGTTTGCGCATATGTTCTATTTCAACATGTGGTCCCCTACTAAGAATGTTGCCTTTTGGTGATTTACATTTAAAAGGGCACGCGAATACATTTTTATAGATATTTTTTTATCTCCCCTCACTGCTAACAGATTTGAAAAATGAAATGTGTTTCCTCTATTACCGATTTTTATCACTTTCCCTGTGGCAAATTCGGGTTCTTATCTCTTGACTCTTCAGGCGCATGTCAGCATGTCCCTGTTTCGTGGGCTCTCCTTCAGCAGAGAGCTGGAGGCTGCTGGCCTGGTGTGCGGTAGGACCCACGCGTGTCCATAGGGCGCCAGCTCCTCCTCGGCGTTACCCACAGTGTTAACACCAATTCTCCGTTAGCATCAGGCCTGGCCATTCCCTGGATCTCTGGGACGGCAGCACAGCGCCCACCTTCATCTTTCTGCAGGGCCTCTGCCCTACAGGAGAGGAGAAACTGTAGGAGAAGAGACCCAATGGCCATGGACCATTATGGGAACTGTGGGGTCTTCAAAGCTCATCCCCAATCCTCCACCAGTTTGTTTTCAACCTCCTTAATTGGATTTTCTGAACGTCCTGTAGCTAGGAACTGAAACACTAACTCTATATAACATTGCATCAATGGAGACATGAGCTGAATCCTGATCTGCCTACTTAAGACCAGTATTTTATTACATGTCTTCTCAACTCAATTTTTAAAAGCAGGCATTTTTCAAGGGAGTTTTGAAGAAAATTAGGCTAAAAAAAACTGAAATCAACATCAGAAAAAGTAAAAATCATCAAAGTGAACACATGAAATGACACAGACTTTATGTCCTAATTCAATTATAATTGATAATATTTATTAACTCACGTTATGTATAAGGCAGTGTCTTAGGTGCTCAACATGAATAACCTCATTCGGTCCTTACAGCAAGCTAACAGGTCCACTTTACAGATTAGAAAACTGATCATGAGTAACAGGCCTGGGGTCATATGCTAATAAGAAGTGGTGCTGTAATTAAGATTAACCAAAGAATTTATATGCATATATGCATTACCCAAGGACACAGACAATAGTGTGGTGAAGGCCTGGGATGGGGAGTGGGTGTGGCGTAGGAGTGGTTAATGGAGAAAAAAGGGGACATCTGTAATATTTTCAACAATAAAGATAAATTAGAAAGAATAAAATAAAATAGAAGATCTCTCTAAACTGACACAGCTTCAAGGCAGAAGACATTGGCTCCTTAGTTTAGTTCTGTCTAGAGAAACTAGATTCTAAAGCACTGTTTTCACTTGTTGGGTGTTAATCTTCTTGGGAGGGAATGATCTAAACTGTGAACTTTAGCTTACACGTCATTACTAAACTCTGGATTATACCTACCTTCTTCATCACAAAATCTTTATCATAACAACAGAATGAAATAATGTAAAAATTATAAGTACCTAAAACTGCAAGAATTCTTAAACTGATAGATATTTTATTCTCACAAGGAACCTTTTGGTAGATATAAAATGCAGGCACATTTGGATAGGCAAAATCATAGGCAAGTGAATGGGCAGTAAATAAAAGACAGGAGGACATTTCTACCCTCTAGGAATGGGCAATATTTGTTGGGGGGGGAAATCTCTGTGAAAACACAATAAAATCTTGTATCTCTAATCTTGGATACATTGCAGCTGTAGCAGTTGAGGATTATCTGGAAATAGTAACCTAAGCAGTAGCCATTCTTGAACAGAGCGTCTTGGACAAGGACGGGTGGTAGAAACATAAGGGGTCCAGGCCACCTTGACTGATTAATGAAGAGGAGCCCCTGCCAGAACTGGACAAAGAGGATTTTTGAGGCACTAGCTTAGTGTTTTAACTAAATTCTGTCAAGAGGAATGAAAAGTTTATACTAGAAATCGGTTGTATATGATTTAGGCATTTGTGCTAAGTATAAAAAAATTGGTACGTATCTTTCATAAAGTTATGAGGTAAAGGAACCCTCCAGGTATTCTGTTATAGAAAAGTATCTGGATTTTATCATAATTGCAATAAAAACAAGTGAAAGAAATCTTCCTGGGGCTGGTCCTAGACGTCTTAAGGCTGCGCGGCTTGAGATGACACCAGTGAGGTGGTCTGTGCCAGAGGTCTTTCCTTTGTGATGAGCAGAGATGGACAGAAAAGACTGTGTCTCTGTGGGTGGCATTTCTGTGCCCTGCAGGATAATGCCTTCATGATGCTGGGTCAGGGAGAGACTCTATATGAACCGGAACACCTGTTTGTTAAACTTCCATCTTTCAGCAGAACGCACTCTGGAAACAGCTTGGTCCAAAATCCATCTTGCGTGTCAGGTTAACATAGAGGAAACAGGCAAACAGGTTGTGTTTCATGTCCTCGACACAGAGAAGACAAAACCTCTAGAGAAGAAAAAGACAGTATGGTTTTGCTGGCCTGAAAGTGAGGAAGTCCAAGTCCTAATGGCAGATGGGTTATATGACTTTGGTACACTGCTTTGAGGCCCTTCCTATTCTAGAGGCATCCTGTGCCAGGCCTGTCACCCTAAAGAAAAATTCATCTGCATTATTGCTATCACCAAGGAGAGCAATGTGGAAAAATTTATAATAGATTGTTCAAAATCAAAGATGCTGGCAGAAGGCCTTGTAGGTAAAAGACTGAAGAAAGCTATCTATGGCTCTTCATCACGTTGACCCAAGGAAGAAAATAAATGGTGAGATGTTCAAAGTTTGGTCAAAGTCACAGAGCAATTAAAAGATATACTAGAGCCCAGCCGGGTGTGGCTCAGCAGTTGAGCGTTGACCTAGGATCCAGGCGATCGGGGTTCAATTCCCAGACAGGGGACATGCCCGGGTTGTGGGCTCGATCAATGACTCTGTCATCATTGATGTTTCTATCTCTCTCTCTCCCTCTCCTTTCCCCTCTCTGAAATCAATAAAGATATATTAAAAAAAAAGGATATACTAGAGATGCCAAATCTCCTCCAAAGTCTTGTATACCAGCTCAAGTTTAAGTAGCAAACACCAGAACCCATTGATGAAATCCAGAGTCCCAGAAGTTTATAGTGACCGATGGCCAACAAGCCAGTTCTCTCTGAAGCTGTTCTCCAAGACAGAGCCCCAGTTCTCCAAACATTGCATAGGCCCAGGATTGAGTTAAATTTTGGGCAAAGGTCAGAGAAATTATTAACAGTGTTAAAATGTCAGAAAATAAATGTAAAGTGGGTATGTTAGAAATTGATAGACTGAATTTTTCTTCCATCTTTATCTTTTTTCATGCCATAGTAGAAATTTGTTGTGTTTTGTTTTTTGGGTTTTTTTTACTATGTATGAGTGCCACCAAAAAAAATTAGGTTAATAAATAAATATATAAAAATAGGAAATAACTGCATCAGGTAAGCTGTCTCTAGCAGAATACTGCCATAATAAGGTTCATTCCTGGAAAGAGAGAGAACAAGAGGGGGGGTATGTAAATATGTATGTTTTGTTATTACAAATATGTCTATTATAGCTTGGAGATACTCATGCTATAATTATGGCATTTTTTTTATTTCTCCCATTTTGTTACTTGCTACCACTTTAACCTATTTCAGAGAGCAGATCACTTAATAAAGTTGTGCCTTGGTTCCAAAAATGTCATTTAGCAAAGTAAATTGAAAAGAGTGCAAGATTCTTTGTTGTAAAAACTTATAAAATAGTATACCAATTAAAGAACCCTATAAAATGCTTTTCCAAGGTGAAAGATGGATTCTCAGAACAGATTACAATGTTTCTGATCATTTAACATTGGAAACCATTCCAATAACTTGGTTCAAAATTGACTCTTCAGGTTTTCCTCTATTTCGCTGCCATCCTTTCAACTGCCGAAAATCCATTGAAAGGGCAACCCTGAGAGCCTGATGTAGAAATGACAACCTCTGCTGCTTGGGTCCATGAACAACCACACCCATTCATGACACAGACAGGACTGTTAAGGTAGCAATAAATAACTGTCTATTAAACTGAGCCATTTTGAGTTTGGGCTAACTTGTTAAACTGAAATCTAATCCTCTAATCGAAAGTGAAAGTGTTCATCTGCTTACCTCTTCGTTGAAAATTGTATAATCATGGTTGACCATCAAGAGAGATGACTAGTCANTAATTGAAAGTGAGAGTGTTCATCTGCTTACCTCTACGTTGAAAATTGTATAATCATGGTTGACCATCAAGAGAGATGACTAGTCAAGATCAATCCAGTCTTGTTCCTAAGGGAAGATTATTGAAGAAACCAAAGGAGCTGAGCAGTCATTTAGACCACTCAGGGAGAGAGTTGCGGCGGATTAATAGCCTAAGGACCGGTGTATTTGTTTTGACATTGAAGATGTAGCTTTGGGCCATTTTGCTAAGAAGGATTTCCTGGAGATTCTGGTAATCCAAGTAACAGAGCAGCATTGATGGTACTCGCATCTAGCTATCTATGCGTCTGTCTACATGGCTAGCTACACATCTGCTTGCCTTTCTGTTTTTTTATTGATTGGTTAATTGATGATACACATAAAATGTTAGACTCTTTCCCTCCAGCTTCAGCTAGGTGAGATTTTTGTGTGATCCTAATGACAAGTGCACAAATATCAAGTTGCCAAAGGAAAACCAACCCCCTTAACCTATAAATGGTGATACCGATTGGTACTGGGTAGTAGTTATTTATCAGGAAATATTTGTATTTATAAATTTTATCAATATTAAAATTTTTTAAGTGCCAAAATGACAAAATATGTATGGTAGTCCCTGCCGGGTGACTCGGTTGGAGCATCGTTCAGTACATGAAAGGTTGTGGGCTGGTTCCCGGTCAGGGCACATCCCTAGGCTCCAGGCTCCATCTCTGGTCAGGGCACTATGGGAGGCAACCAATCAGTGTTTCTCTCTCTCTCTCTCTCCCTCCATTCTCTCTCAAATCAATAAAAACGAAACATATCCTGAGGATTAAAAAAAGATAATAAGCTAGAGAAAAAATAAGAGATCTTAGAGAACGAATTTATATGAGATGAAGATGCAACTCTACGACCATGATAACAGGGAATATTAGAATAGCAGAAATGGAAACAGTGAAATAGTGTCCGATGTGAATAACTTACAAGCATTAATTAAGCTGCAGGAGCAGAACATAGTAAACAATATAAAGTTTAAAAAGTATGCATTATGGCCCCAGTCAGCTCTTTAGGGCATTGGCCCATGGACTGAAGTGTCTCGGGTTCAATTCTGGTCAAGGGCACAAAGCTCAGTTGCAGGCTCGCTCCCCACTCTGGTCAGGAGGCAACCAATTGATGTGTCTCTCTCCCACTGATCTTTCTCTCTCTCTCTCTCTCTCTCTCTCTCCATTCTCTCTCTCTCGAATCAATAACAACGAAACACATCCTGAGGATTAAAAAAAGATAATAAGCTAGAGAAAAAATAAGAGATCTTAGAGAACGAATTTATATGAGATGAAGATGCAACTCTATGACCATGATAACAGAGAATATTAGAACAGCAGAAATGGAAACAGTGAAATAGTGTCCTATGTGAATAACTTATAAGCATTAATTAAGCTGCAGGAGCAGAACATAGTAAACAATATAAAGTTTAAAAAGTAGGCATTATGGCCCCAGTTGGCTCGTTAGGGTGTTCGCCCACGGACTGAAGTGTCTCAGGTTCAATTCTGGTCAAGGGCACAAACCTCGGTTGCTGGCTCGCTCCCCACTCTGGTCAGGAGGCAACCAATTGATGTGTCTCTCTCNCTATTAAGTTGTCCTGGAGATGATAGATGATAAATAGATAGATGATGATAGATAGGTGATAGATGATTGATAGATAGATGGTAGATGATAGATAGATGGTAGATGATAGATAGATGATAGATAGATAGATANACACTGATCTTTCTCTCTATCTCTCTCTCTCCCTCCCACGCTCTCTGGAAAGCAATGGGGGAAAAAATCCTCAGGTGAGGATTAAAAAAAAAAAAGTAGGCATTATAATGCAAAATATAGGGGAGAAGAGTTAACTCCATTTAAAAATAATATAATTTTATGAGTAACTATTAAGTTGTCCTGGAGATGATAGATGATAAATAGATAGATGATGATNTTATTAAGTTGTCCTGAAGATGACAGATGATAGATAGATAGATAGACGATAGATAGATAGATAGATAGATAGATAGATAGATAGATAGATAGATAGATAGATGATAGATAATAGATAGATAGATAGATAGATAGATATGGGGAGAGGGGAGTAGGCATATTGTGAACAAAGTTACTTGGATACCAACATTAAAAGACTACTTCAGTGATGGAGCAATAGATAAGTTATTTGTGAATGATACCAGCCAAAAAGAAAAAAACACAATTAGATTTCTTAAAAGTTTTATTTTGACAACAATATAATATATGCTTTAAAAACTGAAATAGTGAAAACAGGGAAAAGGCATTATAACAGGAGTTTAGNAGATAGTTGATAGATAGATGATAGATATAGATAGATAGATGATAGATGATAGATAGATGATGATAGATAGATAGATAGATAGATAGATAGATGATAGATAGATAGATAGATAGATAGATAGATAGATAGATAGATAGATAGATAGATAGATAGATATGGGGAGAGGGGAGTAGGCATATTGTGAACAAAGTTACTTGGATACCAACATTAAAAGACTACTTCAGTGATGGAGCAATAGATAAGTTATTTGTGAATGATACCAGCCAAAAAGAAAAAACACAATTAGATTTCTTAAAAGCTTTATTTTGACAGCAATATAATATATACTTCAAAAACTGAAATAGTGAAAACAGGGAAAAGGCATTATAACAGGAGTTTAGAATAGTAGTTTGAAGAAAAAAGGGAAAAAGGAAACAATTCATATTAGTTAATAAAATTCTCTAACGTGTGCATCCTTTAAAAACCCATCTTTAGGAAAGAATAGCTTAAAATGGATGTTGGTTTTCTTTCTGATAAACAAACCAAAGAAATAAACAAGCAAACATGGAGCCAAAACAAATCTTTAATCATCAGTATTTATTCTTCCACCAGATACTTGCTCAAACATATCTTTGAGTTTTGAAAAGTAAATATAGGTTACAAAATTAATTGAGACTTTGCCTTAATGGGAAATAGGACATCGAATGTTCCAATATCAAGAATTATTATAACTTTAATACTAGCTGGCATTCATTAAGGGATTTGTGTCGGGCGCTGTGCTAAGGAATTGACATGCTTTAGCAGGTACTATGATTCACCTAACATTTACAGGGGAAGAATCTGAACACAGGCCTTTTAACCCAGTCACCCAAGGCTGCTCAGAAAAGCGGGCATTTCAAACTGAGCAGTCCAGTGCGGAGCCCACTTGCTTCCCCTCGGTGCCGAACTTTGTGACGCAGCACTGGGAAGAGAGGCCCAAGGCTTGGGCTAGAGCTTTGCAGAACTGAGGTGCTTGTAGCTATGTAGGAAAATGTGAGGTTCCAATTTTATTCCATTTTCTTTTTTGAATTTGAGATTCACAAGGCAGGAAATTCAGAGGTACTAATTATAATGTTAATGCAGCAGTGTTCATACACTGGACAGATAGGCTTTATCAAATATGTAAGTTAGCTGTGGTTGCCTCCAGGGAAAGTGAAGCCTCCATAAAAATAAGGGAGAAAGGCTGGTACACAAGCCTTCATGGGCTCCAGTCTCCCACATCATCGCATCTAATAAAATAACAGCAACAATGACAAAAATAACAAACCTAAGGTAGAATGTTATTGAAATTTGTTTAGGGAGACAGAGGAGGGATTAGCATCTCATAATTCAGAGTGAGGATCTCAACAATGTAACCATCCCTACTATTCTTTAATTTTTCTAAGATCACTGCCAATGTTCTTACCAGCTTTCAGTGCGTCTATCTTTGCCTTCCCTTTCAGCTCTTTTTTAGGCCCCTGTCACCTGTATTTCATTTTCGTCGCTGATCTCTGCATCCTCTCTCTCTGTAGTTTTGCATTTTCATCTGTCAACTTGCCCCACAAAAAGAATCTCAGGATTCACCCATCCAAGAAGGTTCGTGGCTGCGGGAGGGAATGCCACTGCTAATAATTCAGCATATTTCCCCTGGCCACGCTTGTAAGAGCATTAGGATCGGCAGGGGGGGGCTTACAGCCAGAGCCCCTATCTCTAGCCTGCCCTTGGGTCTTCACTAAGTTCCGTACGGAGGACTTCGATCTCCGCTTTCCCCGCATATTTGGAAACATCACGATACCAAGGCAGCACCTTTTATGCCTGGAGAAACAGAGAATGCTTTCGGGTTCAGATGTTAACATTCTCTCTGCTCACGGGGAACTCAGTCCTACTGACCCAGGCCGAGAAGGGGCAGGAGTCCTTATAGACAGAGATTGGGAAGTGGAGGGTCTAATGGCCACCTCCATCTGGCTGCCCAAAGACAGTCCATCTCTTTGATGAAGAGGCACCAAAAATGAGGACTATCCTCCAGGAGGGTGTCCCTGTCACTTTTACTGTTGTGATTTAATCTCCTAAAACACCTCCAAAGAGGTCTACTATTTTATCACGCACACACTGACACATATCATTATAAATGAGGGCATTTACATCATTAAATGTGTCCTGTTTACCACTGTCAATAGGAATTAGGGTGAGCCGGGGAGTGGAGGTTAAGATCACCCCTCGGAAGGCAGAGTGCTTTTGAGGTCAGGGGAGCTGTGCCTCTGTGGGGATTTTACAGCACCAACCTCAGGGGTGAGTTGAGGTCTCTCAACCTGCATGTAGCTAATGAGAACCCCAAACATCCCTGTCATGTTCACGGTCACTTTCCATGATCCAGCATAGGAATGGGATCTGATCTCATCACCCCCTCATCTCTGTGAGTGTAAACCGCTCATTCAAAGTCATCGCTCAACCCCCCTCTAATCTCCCGATGGCTTCGTATATTGCCTTTTATGACCCCATCTTTTATGCTT